CCCCCCCCCCCCCAAGTCCTCCCCTTTGGAGCTGGTCTAAAGCCACTCATGGCCCAACCTGTATTTGTGCTTAGGAGTGTCCCAACCCAGGTGCAGGACCTTGCATTTGGCCTTGTTGAATTCACAGCCCTCTGCAAGCGATAGTTTAAATATCAGGAGATGTGTGAGCCAGCTCAGTAGGAGTGCATAGTGCAAACTGAGACACAGAGGAACTGACTGTCCCCACGGCCACAGGTGGGGGCAGTCGCCAGGTCTCAGCACAGCCTGTGGGACAGTCATTGGGAAACAGATCCTGGCCCATGCTTGGGTTTGTCTGTGCCAGGAAAGGGAATGCCATCCTTTAATGTCAGGGAACATCCAGGGAGTGACATTGTTCAGAGCTCTTTTTATAGGGACTGGGTCATTGGTGGACTGGGCAGCTAGGCTGTGGCAGCAGCACCCACTACTCCTCAGAGAGACAATACCCACCAGCAGCAAACCCCAGAGACCAGAGGGCTCTTCCATCTGGGTGACCTCATGTCCCAGGTAGGTTGAAAGTGCAACTCACCCATGGTTGGCTTTCTATCTGCCCGATGAAAGCACTGAGACGGCTTCTTGATTACGAGGTTTGAGAAGATTTTCAGCCCCATGTTCTGTTAGGAAACAAGGAGGGCAGGGGAGGTAGAAAAGCATCTGTGAGTGGGGAAGAGCAGTCACTGCTCTTCAAAACAACTCCGAAAACCACTGGGGCCAGGGTGGTTGGGTGGCCCAGAGCAGCAGTGGCCCAAGCAGACACAGTGATGAGGGAGGCATGGCACAGCTTCTTGAACTCTTTTTCTCAGGAGGTCACTAATCCACCACCTCACTACTGGGTCCCACTGGGATATCTTGCTCCTCTCAATGCATTTCCAGTGGCAAGAGCACAGAGGAGAGGTGTCAGTGTCCTGTCCCATCCCCTCTTGGATGCTGGAGGGAATAGCTGGATGAAATCCATCGTGACGAGGAGGACATCTGTCATTCAGCCCCTGGGGCTGTGACATGGGCTTGCCCACAAACACAAGAGATGTCCCTCTGTTGTGAAAGAGCCTCCTAGGATGTGTCTCTATTGCTAAATAAAAGAGGACAAGGTCTGATCCCCAGGTCCAAGGCCAAATGGCGCTGCCTTTCTTAGGTCCATGATGCTTAGGGCTAGTCCTTTCTGGAGGAGATCTGCCTTAAAGGCACCAAAAATCTACCTGGGAACAACCCAAAATGGTGCCAGAGAGCAGACTAACAACTAAGCTGTGTTAACAATCTGTCATCTAATGCTTCAGATCGCTCCTTGTCTCTCTTTTCTTTAATACTATGGACAAAGAGGACACAGCCCAGGACCTCATTCCCAAGCCCAAAAAGCTGGGTTTTGCTGGTCCACGATCTCATCATCTTGCTTTCTGCATCTGTGAAGAGGAATACAGGTGTTCATACTCATAATGGGACTGTACCTCTCTTGAGACAGCACAGCTAGGTCAAGACAGACAGCCAGGTCTGGCTGAAGAAGGCAAGGCCTTCACAGACTACTTGGAGAAAGATATCACAAATGCTCATAATTTCAACAGCTCTGGGAAAAGTCACAAGGTGATTACCCGGAAGAGGTTAAAGATGTCAGGTTGAAAAGAATGCTGAGGCTTCCCTCGTAGCAGAGATGAGGTGGACTGTGGCTGAACACAGTGATCTGAATGCTCTTCTACTTGGATAGGGTATCCATGTCGGCAGGCAGCAGGGAACAAACTATAGACCTAGGGAAATTCACAGTCAAGAAAGAATCAGGCAAGGAGCAGATACCTCCAGATGCTTGGCTCCACCCTCCCCTAACATATATATCTGTTCCTGACCCTCTCCCTAGGCAGACCCCGCTTTCTCCTCCAACAAAGTCCTTCTCATCCATTAGCCTCCAGCTCCCCTTGCCACAGCCCCTGCCTGCCTTCTCCAGCTCATTCATCACACCAGGTTTTTCACCTGGTTGCACAGACACTCACCATTTGGCTTGTCAGCTGGCTCTCTGGTCTCGTGAAGAACATGTTTTCATCCACTGCCTGTACTGCACACAGGGAGCCAGGGGCTGCCTGCAGTCGGAGCTGCACTGTTGACCCTGGGTGGGTTTCTTTAGCTGAGAACCCTACCCTGACCTTGAGCAACACACCAGGAAAGGAAATAGGAAAAAGAGAGAAAGAGGGGTGAGGAGGCTGATGAACAGGTGGCACAGACGGAAAGAGGGAGACCAGCTGGAGTCTTCCCTCCTCAGCCACTGCTATGAACAGAAGTCATTGCTGAAGCACTGTGCTGTAGATGTCCCCTTCCTCTCTTCTCCCCAGTTCTCTCCTTGAAGGATCTGAGAGTCTCCTTCCCTCAGGCCGGCTGACCTGCTGGTCAGCTCTCCCCCAGCCACAGGAGCGAGTCTCACCTGGTTTTCAAAGCACAAGGCAACATCAAAACGGATGCTGTCAGCTGTCACCCCTCCGTTGGGGAAGATGGCGTACACCACTAAGGAAGGTGATGGGGTGAAGTCAGCAGTGAAGGTCAAAGGGATGGAGAAGGAGCCCTTCAACACTGAAGAAGGAAAGGCAAAGTGTTTTTTATCACAGCTCCATCAAGATCTCCTTCTGCCCTTCTCCTTTCTGCTTTATAATCCCATAATGTCAAACCAATTCCTGTTGCTGCTCTGTCCACCCTCTCCCTCCATTCTCTGACCCCATATGCTCCACCTGTCCACAGGTCCTCCCAGTCTCTCTCTCCATCATTATTTCCCTCATTCTGTCTTTTGGGGCTCATCCAGCTGACACATTTTCTTCCTCAGCCTCCCTCTGTCCTGTTCACTGACTTCCCAGGACCTACAGATTCAGAGAATTTGGGAGAAACTCTGGGAACTCTCACTGTCCAACCTAGAAACCCACCAGGAGCAACTGTTTCCCATTGTCCAGCTGCCGTAGACTTACTGTTCAGCTTCCCAACCCGGACACTCCTCTGGCCCCTGACAACAATTCCAGCCTTGCCAGTGACCTGAGGGAGGAGGACACGGGATGAGCAGACTGCTGTTTGCCACCACAGCACAGTCACCCATGTGCACCTTGCTCTCCTAAGCAACCTCAGAAATAAACTGTGGGTTCAATCCCACCCCACACCTCAGGTCCAGCAGATTTGCAGACATCACAGTGTGGAAGGAGAAGCTTTAATACATGAGAATCTGGTCTGGTCTGTTCAGTTAGGAAAATGGATGGGTAGTGGGTTCACTGGAGAGAAGTGAGAGACAGGTAAGGTATTTGACCTCTAGTAGGTAGGTCCCCAGAGCAGAACAAAAGCCATTCCCACTGGACAGCTGTTTGATAACTAGAGTGAAAGAGTGATCCCCCATCCAGTTTTAAAGGCAGAAGACTTTGATGGCAGACTGCAGAAGACACTTCCTGCTGCAGCCTTGCCAAAGACCAAGGGGGCAATGGCCTGCAAAGGCAAAAGCCTCTTCCCATCCACAGAGAGGAAATGGAACCCTGATGCCGGGATCACACTGTGGCTGAGCCGAGCTCTACTTAGTGCAACGTTCACCCAGTTCTCCAAGAACAAGTTTTTCCTGGATCCCTCCAGGGATGATCTAAATTACACCTTCAACATTTTACTGGGTTCTGGTCCCATCAATGCAGCCTTTCATAGAATCATAGAATCACAGAATTAAAGTGTTTGGAAAAGACCTTTAAGATCATCGAGTCCAACCATAAACCCAACACTGCCAGTTCCACCTCTAAACCATGTCCCTGAGCACCTCATCTGCCCGGCTGTTAAATCCCACCAGGGAAGGTGACTCCACCACCTCCCTGGGCAGCCTGTTCCAATGCTTGACTGCCTTTTTGGTGAAGAAGTTTTTCCTCAGATCCAATCTAAACCTCCCTTTGTACAAGCCTCCCTTCTTCTTCCCCCCCAGGTTCTCTTACTCACATAATATGCAAAACCTATACGGCTGGTGTCTTCTCCCAGGTCATCTCGACTGAGCGTGAAGGTCACCTGGACATCCTGCTTCAGCCCACAAGGCAGTGTTTCTGTGAGTGGGTGTACATCCAGGAAGCTCTTGGTTGTGACATGGAAGGGCTGCAGGTGATGGTAAGCGTTTGTGTAACTGAAGTTATTTTTTCGAGGTGTGTGTGTGAGATCCTCCAGTGTGAACCTTCCCTGAGAGGGGACCAGAGACACATAGAAAGAATTTCATGCATCAGTGCTTTGTTAGGATGTCATCAGCTTGGTTAGGGAAAAGCTATTGCTTGGTGCCTTCCTGTGGGCTCTGCCCAAGCAGAGCTATGTGGGAAGCCCGGGCCTGAGAATTCTCACTTTCCCATCCCCAGAGGTGGGATTTACCTCCAAAGAGACTGATGAGCTGTTCCAGGCAGTTGTGTCCAGGTTGAATGATGCTATTCCACTGCCATCTGTGATGTAAGTTTTGATAAGACGGCGCCTCATGAACTTTATCACGAGATAAACTTTTCTGTTTTTCATGACATTGCCATAGTGATCCTGAAGCTTAATCTGGTGACAACAGCATGAGGCAGAAAAACCAAAGTCAGATGTTTCTTCCAGTGTCATGCCCAAAACCTTCCTCCCTCTGACAAACATGGAGCCTCCTATGTCGGTGATCTTGAGTCTGGCCCCAAGAAGACAGGAGACCTACAAAACTCCCACATCTTTAAAGCTAAGCTGAGAGTAATTAGAATCTGTCCGCTCCAAAAGGTGTGTGCGACTAGAACATGAGGAGCTCATCTCCAAGCCAAGAGCTGAGACATCCTTGCATCTCAATGTCCCTGCTGAGACATCACTCATCTCTCTCAGCAGAAGTTGGAGATGTAAACACATCAGGGAACCTGAAATGCAGAAACTGGAGCCATGCTGTCAAGTAATGTGACACACTGCAAGGTAAAGTACACTGAGGAACAGAAAATGGTTTGGGTCAGCAAAATCTACCAGGCATTAAATTCCTCAGCAAATGATGGGGAGGGAAGAATCATAGAACCACAGAATCATTAAGGTTGGAAAAGACCTCTAAAATCATAATGTCCAACCATCAACCCAACACCACCATGCCCACTAAACCATGTCCCTAAGCACCACACCTACATGTCTTTTAAATGCCACCAGGGAAGGTGACTCCACCACCTCACTGGGCAGCCTGTTCCTGTGCTTGACCACCCTTTCAGTGAAGAAGTTTTTCCTCAGATCCAATCTAAACCTCCCCTGGTGCAACTTGAGGCCATTTCCTCTTGTCGTGTCACTTGTTCCTTGGTTGAACAGACCCACCCCCCACCTCTCTACACCCTCCTCCAAGGGACTTGGACAGAGCCACAAGGTCTCTCCTCAGCCTCCTTTTCTCCAGGATCAACAACCCCAGTTCCCTCAGCTGGGAACTCAGCACACTTGTGCTCCAGACCCTTCCCCAGCTCCGTTGCCCTTCTCTGGACACGCTCCAGCACCTCCATGTCCTTCTTGGAGTCAGGGGCCCAACACTGAACCCACCACTTGAGCTGCGGCCTCACCAGTGCCCAGTGCAGGGGGAAGAGAATTTCCCTGGTCCTTCTGGGTACGTTATTTTTGATCCAGGCCAGGATGCTGTTGTCCTTCTTGGCCACCTGGGCACTCTGCTGACTCATGTTCAGCTGCTGTTGACCAACACCCCCAGGTCCTTTTCCACCAGGCAGCTCTCCAGCCACTCCTCCCCAGGTCTGTAGCGTTACATGGGGTTGTTGTGACCCAGGTGCAGGACCCAACACTTGGCCTTGTTGAACCTCATATGATTGACTTCAGCCCATCCATCCATCCTGTCCAGATCCTTCTGCAGAACTTTCCTGCCCTTCAGCAGATGAACACTCTCACCCAGCTTGGTGTCATCTGTGAACTGACTGAGGGTGGCCTCGATCCCCTCGCCCAGATCATGCATAAAGATATTAAACAGAACTGGCCCCAGCACTGAGCCCTGGGGAACACCACTGGTGACCAGCTGCCAACTGGATTTAACTCCATTCCCCACCACTCTCTGGGCTCAGCCATACAGCTAATTTTTTACCCAGAGAAGAGAAAAGGGAAGTAAGAAGAAAGGGAAAAAAAATCACCTTCCCCCTGTAGGGTACTCCAGGGATGTAATATGCATTCGGTGTCTCAAACACTGCCCTTGCTGCTGTCCTGGAGATGAGGATTTGGCTGGAGGTGTTGATCCGCACCCCTGTTGGAACGCAGAGTGCAAGGGAAGGAGGATCAATATCGGAGGTGACCACTGCACCCTAGTTTAATCTCACTGTTATTCCCAGCCCTGCTAAGTGAAGTGTCTCAAACTTCTTCCCCAACACCAGCATCCTTCAAGGTTTATAGGTTGTTCCTGTGGCAGCTCCTTCTTTTGTTATCTCCAAGCCCCTCTGTGGCCTCATGGACCGCACTCCCGACCACACCTCATCCGCCTGCTGCTGGTAGAGTAGCTCTCTGTGGGCATGGTGAGTTCCTTGGGCAGGACCACTCTCCATGTCCTGTGGTGGTCCCAGCACCAGGTGGAGGAGAGGGAGAGGTGTGCCCACTCTGACCCTCACACCCCCAGAATGGTCCCTCACACCTTCTCTGCTGAGCCCCTGGGTACCTGTGCCCATCTCCAGGAGAGAGGCTTCTGCATAGAGCTTGCCATCTTCCTCGCTGGGAGGGAGGTTGAAGACTGATGTGTTTATAGAGGAGGTGAAGCACCCCTTGGTCATGGTCTGCAAGAGGAAGTGGTAGATATTATGTGGGGCTGGGGAGAAGGGAAGGAGTCAGAAGTACAAGGTACTAGTCATTTTGTCACAACTGTTGACTGCAACAGGTAATAATGTAGACTGGTACACAGATAGATATGGTTCGCATTTTCAATTCTATATTTTTTATTTTATATGCATGAATATGTGTAATTCATATTTGTGATAGTTTCACAAAAAATAAAAAAAAAATAAGCAGGACAATATTGTAGAAACATAAAACAAAACCCATCACCATTTTATCAGTTATATTGTTGCCAACTTTCCAGCTTTAGTAGAAAAGCGACGACTGCACTAACTGGATCACAGACCAAATATAGGATTCTTTTAATAGATCTAGCTAGAAGAACTGCAGAATCAAATGAAAATTCAAAGTAACGAATAATTTCCAGAGCTGGAAGATTACAACTACCATAATTGGTCATAAAGACAAATCAGAAAGCGTGAAAAGTTTTCAACCATATATGTACAAGCTATGAAATACTTTGGCTGGAGCAATGGAAAGAGTTAATAGGGAAAATTTAAAAAATATGCAATATATAAATATATTAAAAAAGAAAATAAAGTATAAAAGCCACTGTGTGATTTGTCTATGGAATTAACCATGTCTTCACCATACGTTAGAGTCTTTGTGCAGGATGGGTTCACCTTAGCACGGCAATTTTGCACCTGAGAAAGTTCTGATAATTTTTGTTTCTTCCACTGTATGAATTTCTGGCAAGTTATGTTCCTTTCCAGAAAAGAATAGAACTCTCAATCTTGGTGTGAAATTCCTCTTTTCCAGTCCCTATCACTGATAAGCAAAGTTACAAAGAAGAACCTGTTGGGGTAAAGGCTTCTCAGTTGGTCTGGGCAAGCAACAATAATTGCATTAATTGAATAAAAGCAATTACTTATTAGTCTCCATATACATTGTAGAGGTTGGGAAACCTTCCCTACACAGCAGCAGTTCACTCAGCCCTCGACACCGAGTCCTGTGTGGTGTTCCTTCACTACTCACATATCTTCCAGGGTTTTACTCACCGGACCACTGTATTCCCTACAGATGTCCTTGCTGGCATTTTGAGGACGTCTCCTTGTCTTCTGGCACAAAATCACCCTCATGGTCCCTTGCACTGCTTTCCCATAGCTGTACCTGCAGGGAGGACACCAGAGGAGCTGCCAAGCACTGTGTGTTTTGTTCCACATGAGTGGCCCTCCTGATGAAGGTCTTGATGCAGCTGGTCAATGAAAATACAGCACATCATGTACTTGGGGAGGGCGATAGCACAGCCCTGCATCCAACAGAGGCAGGAACAAAGCACAGACAGGAAAGGACCTACAGTCTCTGAAGCTCTCCCACTTCTGGGTGCTTGCTGTCCTGGAGCTGCAGGCAGACACAGAGCTGACCTGAGCTGATGTGTCCACGCAGCATGGAGATGTTAGCTCAGGTGTGAGATCAACCTGTGTCCCTGCAGACAGCAACTGCATGTTAGGGCAGTAATAGAGCTACAGAGTGACCTCCAACCTGCCTCACTATGGGCTTATCTCATGACCTGGACTCTTGTTTCCATCACCAGACCTGCTCTGATGGGTTTTTGTGAGGTACAGCAGAAGTGTGCCCATGTCAGTGCAGAC